TGTTCTGCCAGAGAAAGAAATCAGAGAGTTAATAAAAACAAAATTAGAAATAGGACAGCAATCAGATTCTGTTTTTTCTTACTGCAAAGGTCATAGAGGAATGAGGCAATTAATTGCCTAACCTTTAAATGTGGTTTATAATGGAAGTTCTGTGATATCTGAGAGCATAAGCTGCCTTGATTTGAAGCAAGTTGAAGCTGGTGTCTTGTGGAGTTACAGCTTGATAAACAAGCCATTCTGACCTGCTCCTGGAAGATTCCTTTCCTTCTTTGTTCTCTATTCCCAGTTTCTCATGCTCTTTGGTGTTTGTTTGGTCATCTCTATCTAGGCTTGGTTTCATTGCATGAGCAGAGGAAAGCATTGCTGTTTCGTCTTGTTTGTAGAGATGTTATTAATACTAAGAGGAATGAATGAATGACAGGTGCTTTGCTGGGCACTTTTCCTCACCTTCTCAATCTTTCTTCCCAGCAGAGCATGGGAAGTGCTGAGGCCTGGTAAGTCCTGAAATAGCCCCGAGTTTTCCCTGGCAGGTTCTTCCCACTGCACACGGGCAGTGGCTTGGAATCAGCATGTGCGTAGGAGCTGATCCATCACTTAAGGCTTCTTTGGGAACCCCAAAGAACAATAATATCCTGTTGACTCGGATTTGACTATTTATATCCATCAGCTGAGCAGCCACCTCCTCTGTCTGCTCTTTCGTTACCCGTCTGTAAATCTGTCTTTGGACCACATTGTCTACTGCATGGTTGACAACATGATTTTTAATTTCAAGATGAATTTGCTTGAGACACTTTAGAAGAGAAAATACATCGATGACAAAAGGCGTCAGCTTTCTTTGTTAACCTGTTCACTTTTTGGACATCAGACAAAGAGACTGGCAGGAAGCTAACCTAAAAAACAAGGGCTTTCGTTGGGAAACAGTACAATAACAAGAGGAAAACAATCTGATCTCTTATAGGTATGTTTATGAAGAAGTGCTGACATGCACCTGTCAGATTAAAGACTGAATCCTGCCACCCACATATTGTCCTGGCAGTTTATATTTTTCTTTTTTTTTTTTCCAACATTTTTTTTTTCTGCAGCAGATTTTCAGTCTTCTTGAGTAGAAAAGGTGTCAGTTTCTTACAGAAAAGCCCTTCCCTGGCTTTGAAACATAAGGAAAAACTGTCAAATTTAGCTTGGTATTTTCTAGGCTGTTTTTTCAGAGGTGAGCTTTTTAAGAGAAGCTGTACAATTTACTTTGAAGAGAAAGAATACAGTCTAACCTGTGGGAGTCAGCTAGAGTGAAGTTAAAATAAAGCAATTATTTCACTGCAAGCTTCTATGAATATTTTTGAGGCTCTTATCAGAAAATAAAAGTGTGCTAATAATGGAACTTAGTTACAAAGTCCAACTGCTTTGGTTCCAGTATGGATAAACTGTTGTGGACAGAGGGGGTTAAACCTGATCTGAGTCAGAAGGGGCCATTGCTCCTCTTTGGAGCTAATTTTAAATGTTTGACTGTGGAACACTTAATTCTGTAATTTCACTTTTGTGCCATCCTGTGTTATCAGAGACTAGTTCTTTTCTGAAGACCTTGCTCGTACATCCACCAAGGAAGCACTGTATAGCTCTTGCCTTCCTGGCTCCTTCTTTTCCACACTAAAAACGTGGTGGTTCTGCCCATCTCCCTTCTCCTGTGCTATCCCAAGTCTGTCGAGGTTCTCCTGTATATGTATGTCCTTCTTGTTAAAGTACTGTAAGCAAAATACATGGCATGTTCAGCAGTTAAAAGTGAACTAGAAATACTCAGACAAAGCAGTATATTTTCTGAAACCATTTTTTAATTATAGTGAAAGCTTTGTGCTTAGAGAAAGTTTGGGAGTATTTTTGGTACCATCTGGATACCTAAGCTTGGACAACAAATCACTTCTGACATAATGACGACAGTGTATAATACTGTGTTCTTCTAGCCCGTGTCTCATTAATGTGGAAGCACATGGATTTTCCTGCAAAATATGGATTCACCATCTGTGCTAGTATTCTTTGCATGAAGTGAAAGACTGTTCTTTGTATTGTGGTTGCAATGGATCCATTCTGCTTTTACTGCCTTCTCTCTAGGACAAAATGGATAGGTCACAGAAAAAAATAAATCTACACCAAACAATGCTTACTGCTAATGCTTATTTACCTCACATCCAATGTGGGAGCTACCAACATTTATTAAAGGTGGAACTCACAGATTAAGTGACATTTTTCTGTTGTTCCCCCTTTGACTTCTTTATGCTTTGACATTCATTGGCTTATTTGGGCTGGAACCTCTGGCCTTGGGGAAACTGAATTCCTTGTATGCCCCTTGTAGATGTCAAAACCTAAGGCACAGTAGCATTAAGAGATAAAATGTTACAGGTAGGTTTAAAAAGGTGTAGAAGAGTTGCCCGTTGAGTGTGTTGCAGCTTGGTTTGATCATGTTGCACATCAGTTATAAAGTAGCTCGGAGGTTATTTGCTTTTATAGCTAGGAATGGAGTTTTAGTCTGATCTAAGTCTGGGGATTCTCAGCTTTGCTGTATTTCCCCATCGATGTCTGAACTGCTATTTAAATTCTCCTGCCTTCATTGTGACTCCTTTTATATTTATGGAATAATAGTTAGGATTCTTATATAGAAGGTATTGCAAAGCAGTCTGACTTTTTACCATTATGTAATTTGAAGTGTTGCAAAAAGTGTTTTATATGCTCTGAAACTTAATGCCACTGTCATATTAACTGATAGCTTCATTCATACTCACAAGCTCATACTGATGGATTCCCCATGAAACCTGTCAAGCATAGGGATCTTTGATCATCTTATTCTTTCTTCATCTCTGTCAAGTTCTTTTTTTTTCATACTCTTGACAGAGAAATAGATGGAACATCTTTAAGTAATGAAATAAGTATATTAGCAGTAAAAATTTAATCAAGAGCAAGTACAATTAAGGGATAGATTCTATTTTCTTGTACTTTCAGTAGTTTTACTTCTGCAATCTCATGGAGATAAGCTGCTTTATGGAAGATACAGATCTGTGCTTTATTAATGAGCTTTTATGGTAATTTTGATACATCAGTAAATAATACCAAAGGGGAAGGAAAGGGCTCTAAAAGAGATTTTTTTGTTGATGGATTCAGAGTATGAGTTGAGGGATTAGACTTCTCTAAGGACTCTGTGGGGAAGAAAGCAAGAAGATGCTGGGGCTGGAAGCTGGACAAGCTGGTGGAGAAGGAAGGTGCCTGATTCCTGTGCTTTGGGGGCAAGTTAATCTTTCTTCAGACACAGTGAACGACTCTTACTGGATTCAGGAACAAATTCAAAACAGCAATAGCAAAGCTTTTCTTAGGTCATTAAGGCAAAATTCTGGTGAGGTTTAACAAAGAAGAGCAGTGGCTGGTGGTGGTCAGCAGGATATTATCAGAGAATGGGCTGGAGTAGGGTTTTCTGAAACGAGAGAATGTCAGTAGGAGAGACTTGAACATGCAGGTAGACAAAATCCTGTGATTTTGCCTGCTGCATGAAAATATCCAAAGCTGCTCACTGGGGACATGGAGGAGGAGGTAATTATACTCTAGGAAGCTAAAAGATTTTGATGCTTTTTTCATGACTTAAATCCACCAAACCATGCGTTTGTGCAAACCTCAGTAACTATAAGATAGATGTTAAGCTTGCCTTCATCCTTCCTACTTGCCATATGAATTTCTTTGCCTGCAACCGGGATCTGATCTTGCACCCACTGAATTTTTTGCCATTGAGCTCAGGGAGGCTAAATCTGGCTACTGCAGTGGAGGAACTGTTCATCTCTGCCTGTCTCACGTATACAGAATTGCATGCTAAGGCTCTGAGCACACAGTGAGGGTCCTCCAAGGACTGCAGTGTGTCTGCAGCCAGTTTATATAAATGTATCTGCCTGCAGTTCAAAAGCCTGAACGTACACAACTGCATACCAGAATTAAATCTAGATCCTCAGATCAGCCTGATATCCCATGCACTTGTCCTTGCTTGGCACGTGGCCAGGTGAGCCAGCAGCACACCTGTGCAAGTGGGGTGATGTGGAAGCCCCTGGGTGGATGTTGCAATGCTTTATGCATTCATTTGCCTGCCTGTAGGAGTCATTCGTATGGCTTCTGGCCTGTTTCTCAGCAAAGCAATTAGCAAGTCCGAAAGGTCTTGCCTCAAGGCTTTTACAACCATGAATTATGCATTTTATTCTCTATCCTGCCTTTCGTTTTTCTAGCATGCTCTTTCCGATCATGTAATGTCTTATTTTCCCCTCCCATAAAATCTAACAGCCTGGTGCCCAGAGCAGGGGCACAAGAAAGCCTTTTCATCATCTGTTTCCAACATACAATATCTTTAGTTGGTTGGCTGGTTTAATTTTTTTCAGGTGGTGTTTATGAAAGAACGTGCTTGTTGCAGGCAATGATATCTTTAGGCTATTCAGTGCCTTCCCTTCTGAGAGCAATACCAATCTGCTGGGCATTCAGCAGCAACAGCTGCTACCCGCCTGCCACCATTAAACACAGGTTTAACATTTATTTACAGCACCATGGAGCCATAAACGTGGCCACTGCCACTCTGGTCTGGTGCAGCTAAGGAATAACATAGGCTGTGCCAACAGGAATACCCTCAAAAGTTAATGAGAGTTAATTTTCTTGAAAGTCAGCCTGGATGGTGGTGTAATGGTTCCCATGAACAATGAAGGTGGCTCTGCCTCAGCAGCTCATAGTTAAATGTAAACTGAATTAAGGATACATTTTTCCTCTGCTGGTGTTCTACAAGAGACAAGGTGTTTGCAGTGCAGATCTTCCATTGCACGCTTGAAGTCGACCCAAGTCCTGACTACAGAAGTGGGTGCAGAGGAAGCAGTGAGGGTGGCAGAGGAGGGGACCCTGAATCCAGGCAGCTGGGGCAAGCATGTGCTTTGTGCCAGGATCCATAGCCGTGGAGCTGGGCTCCTTCCCAGCTGCTGGGGCTGGAGGCTGTGCTGGGAGGGGCAGCAGAGGAGCGGCTCAGCTGGAAAGGCTGAGCGCAGAGCCCGGTCCTGCTGGAGCAGTGGGGCTGAGGCTCATTTGTCGGTAATTCCGGTTTTTGCTTTTGACATCGCCTTGAGGCAGGGAGAAGTTATTGGCTACTCGAAACAAAAATAGGCTAGGAATTAATTTCAAGAATATTTCCCTGCTTTTGTGTCTCAACAAGAAGCTCGCTGGGGATGCCCAAGCTGCTGTTAATAACAAGGATGCTGGAAAGTGACCACGAGTGTGGGTTTACTCTGCAGCTGACAAAGCAGGGTTATATACTTAATAGCTATATACCTATAGTGGTTCCCGTAAGCAGTTTATTAGGCCCCTCCAGACTTTGAGGATGCTCCAGGGAAATTGCCTACACGGCCCCATGGCTATACATTGCCTGTTCATCTGCTGATCCATGGGATGCAATTATTCCTCCAGCCTCACAGAAAACGCTCTCCTAATTCAGTGCTGTGGCAGTAAGTGTGGAATGAAAGATGACTTTCAGCCACTTCAGGAGCTTGCTGCTGCCTCCTCTTAGGAGTCCCCAAGGAATCCTGCATGTCTGCAAGGGAGCCAGCTCGTCACTCAAATCACTTATTTGAGATACAGACCCACCCACTCTAGCGATGGTAATTCTGGGCAGAGTCAGCTGGGAGGTAATTTGGTCCCAAGGCCCATCCTTTTGCTGCTGGGGATTCTCCATGGATGCTGTGATTGCAGCATATGGGGGTGGGGGAACTCACAGATTCCAATTTGTGCTGGCCAAATTACACAAGCTGTGTTTCCAGTACCTGTGTTCTCATGTTTTCTTTGCCCTTCTGTACTGAAAACCTTGTTTAGTTAACAAAATCAATTATAAGCTGAGGCTGTTCTTGGACTTTTAGTAAATGTAAAATTTAACTGCTAGGATGAGAAATATTTGAGTGGTGGATTTAGTGCCATGATACAAGTAAGGCAAGGTTTGTAGTGAGAGGTAATGCCTTTTTTTAGGCTGGCTGATAAGTTACTTTGTTGTTTTTCCTGATCCTGTTTGTTGGCCGAATAAAAGCTCCCACCTCACCTCAGACTTTTTTTGGTGGCATGCTTATCTGAGCAACAGAAGTCAAAGATATTAGCCTAGTGCAAATGTTCATGTTTCCACACTGCAGACTATGAAACAAACTCCATGTTAATTTGTATAAAACTAGTTTATTTATTGTCTTGCTTATATTGCTTTTTTAATCTAATTTGTGACCTTAGGAAAAAAATTAAGTTCATTCATTTATACTGGGTAATCTTTTGAAAGTACATCATTGTACTTTCAACAGCTTGGCAACAAATAAGTGAGATTACAGCAGTGACTGACTGAGAATGACAAGTAACCAATAGCCTGGCTGCAGATGCAAAATGTGAAATTTGGCCTTGAGAGGTAGTACATGGATAAATTAGACTACAGCTGTAAGCAGGAGAAAACTGTTTAGCTGTACTGCCAAAACTCGAGTTTTCCCAGTGATGCCCGGTCCCTGAACAAAGTCAACCATCTGTCGTGCTTCATGGTAAAAAGCAACACAAAATACCTATCCAGTCTGCAGCTTCCTAGTAGTCCCAACATGTATAATGTATGAAAACAAGAAGGTTCACTGCTTGAAATGCAAATATTACAAGTCATATATACATTTTCCCTAGTTTATTTGACTGTGTAGGGCGAGGCCTATTTAAAGTTCATCCTACCTTAGCTTATTTATGCATGGAAAGTCCTTGACGAGTTCTTCAGGGAGGAGACACCAGCGAAGGCTGGGAGATGCCTGAGAGTTTCCTCAGCCCTTGCCAGGCTGTTGACATTGTCCCGGGATCGTTTATTCCCAAAAACTGGTAGGATTTAATTCACCTTTTCTGTTCTTGCAATAACTAGCAGAGCAAAGTGGAAATATATTTTAATTTACTAAAGCAAGATGTGAGGTACTAACAAAAGCCCAGTGTCTGGGAGGACACTGGTGGGAACAGTAGGGAGATTGTTTGCAGTGTTCACTTCCAAACTGCTTCAGCAAATGTTTCCTTGATCAGTACAGTCTGCTCCTATCTGCAGTCACTGTGGCTGCTGGTACTGCACACCTGGAAGGTCCCTCCTGTTGCCTTAGCCCTCATTAAAGCTGTGCCTTTTTCAGGGCTGTGACTCTTAACAACAAACACTGACTTGTGGCACTTTGCAGGGGTGGATGTGATCCCTGAACTTAGCTGCCCTGTCTCATAAGACTCCTGGGACTCTCTGCAGTTTTGGCTCACTGGGTGGCATTTCTCTTAAGCCCTAACCAGCTGGAAGTTGGACCTTCTCAGCTGGTTATGTAGACTTCCCTGCAGCCGTGACTTTTCCCTGGGTTTGATGGTTGTTTGCAATACATGAGAATGTGAAATGCTTAGTGCCAGGGTAGGAAGGCACTCTCATTTGCTGTGAGAGAATTAGGCTCAATTTCAGCCTCTACTGTAACTCTGCAGACACAGAAAAAGGTTTGAGGCCAGCAATGAGAACACTGCAGACTACAGTGTAAGCCCTGCAGCTACCGAGGTGGCAGGACTAGCAGGGGGGAGACAGAGGTCACCCCGATTTCCTTTTGACAGGGTCAGCAAACACTAATCCTTCTCTGCCAGGGGAAGGTTGCTCTGTTGGCTCACAGGGAGCCCTTGGTTATGTTAGCCCATGTTTATGCACTGAACACAGTACGAGAGCACATAAAAGAGCAGTGTTGTCAGCTGAGCCCCCCCTGCCTTATACAAACACTGCCTTGTTTCGCCAGCTTGGCTCATCGTTTTTGTTTCATTTTGGTAGGGTAAACTCCTTTTCTTATTCTTCTGTGGTGTTGGTAGAAGACTGTGTTCCATCTATTAGTTGCATGTAATACTTGTTCACTGTGTGTGCCTTAGAAACCTCCAGGTTTGTATATCTGCACCATCCCAGGTGAAGACTGCAAGAGGCAATTCCTCCCCATCACTGCTATTCCGAACTCAACCTGATCTGCTTACCCACATTCCTGGTTTTCTTACTGAATTCAGATTGAATATCAAGTGCTTATGCACTGGTAAAACTATTTGTTATTATTGAGTCCATCAGGTTAATGCTGAATTAACAAGACAATTAAGTGAAAAAAAACCCTTGGGTATGATTGCTCATGTAGGCCCAAAGAGCATTTTGCTGTGGAAAAAGAACAATTCTACTAAATCTCAGTTTCTGTTAATCTACAAAAGAAACTTGTCAGATGATTGCAGTTTTTGATTGTTGCTTCATTCCCTTGGCCTTCCTCATCCCACCAACTTGAATTCACTATTAAATGTCACTAAATAATCTCTAGAAATCCAAGTGCTGATATTTGCAAACCTGTCCATGCAGAGAGGTCATTGCTTTTCATTGTAAAGGATGCAAATGTGGAGCAGAAGGTAAATCTAGTCCTTTCTCCCTGAGAAAAATATTTCCGAGGTCAAGGAGAGAATTTTTGTATGCAGAACTTACAAATAATACTCATAATTTTGTTGTAGTCATGCTAACTGTTTTTAAAGAACCATTGAAGTGGTATTGCAAAAAGGAAAAAAAAAACAGTGGAAAGCCCCCAACACCCATTCCTGTAGGGGCTGACTCTTCAAGGGCTGCCTGGCTACAGTCTCCCTGTCACTGCTGTGCCACCTTGGACGTGTCTATAGTGTGCTGAGTTTGTTTGTAAAGAGATGGGAAGTGCTTCAGGGTAGAAGCTTTGTGTGTGTGTGTGTGTGTGTGTGTCTGTGTGTGTAGCTATGCAGTCTGGATCAAACTCTCTTTGATTTTAAGTTGTGCTAATAATTAACCCTCAGCTTGTAGTAACTATCCAGCATAATGATAACCACACTGCTGGCTCCTGTCCACAAGGTTATTGGGTATGTACTGCAGAGCATATCCCTTCCACTCTGTCTGGGAGCTGATGTTTGTGAATGTGAATGGATGTGAAAGAGTCTAAATTAGGCACACTTGCCAGTTTCTTTTCCAAATTCTAATAATTTATAGGCAGATACCAGTTCATCTGTCCTTTAACCTGTTATGTTAGGCTTGAAGAGTATTGTTCTTGCAGAGACTTCATTAAAGCTCTTGAGCACACACTGTGGGCTGTGCTCTCTGTTTGTGTTAGCAGTGGTGCTTTTTCATGTTAAACTGGTTTGACCATAAACTGTATGAGATTAAGTCCACGTCTGTTTCATCTAGATTGTTTTCCTTCTCCTGTGTTACGTGATGGTGGGTAAGCAAAGCAGCAGTTGGGTCTCTGTGTTGCTAATCAGCCTTTCTGTCCAATTCCTTGAGGTATGAATGATACAAGCAGGCAGCGAGTGTGGTTATTGCTGCCAGTCACTGATGCTTTGGCAGCTCACACAGAAAATGTTACTAAGAGGTGCAGGAATTAACAGAACTTTTGTTTATGCTTAAAATATCATTTGCTTTAAATTTCGTCTGCTTCTTCTTGTCAGATGCTTTGCCCTAACTGCATTTCCTCAGCTGATTGCCATCAAAGCTGAAATCCTGGCACAGGTGATGCGGCTGCCGATCTCCACGGCTGATTCTCATCCTGGTGGCTGAAACCCAGCAGTGAGAAACTTCTCTGCAAACCAAAGGGAGCTCACACAGCCTGGGAAGGGGAGCAGAAAACATGCCCTCCCCCCTGTCTGCCCCTGCCCCGAGTGCTGACCCTGCACAGTGACCCTGTGTGGTGACCCTGCATCTCACCTCGCACACCAGCCATCCTGACTCCCACCAAGCTGATTTACAGCCTCTCCTTAAGTGCATGTGTGAAGGAAAGGGAAACTGAGCTGTAGTTAATCTCATGTTTCTAAGCAACCAGGTAATTCTCTGCAGCTGATCCCTAAAGGGAAATTCCTGTTTTCTTGCACCCTTGCTCAGAGGACACCTTTCTCTTTGCCTTCTCCAGCTCCTGGGCAACAGGCAGTGGAGTCTGAGGAGGGTCACAGCTTTGCAGCATTTCTCCAAATGCTGTGGGGGAGGGTGAGGAAGCACAAAAAGGGCACTTTATTAATGTTCTGTAACAGGTAAGGAGGTGTTCCTTGGAAAATCAGTAGAATAGAGGGAGTGTGGAAAGTTTCAGTGTTTTTCCCAGAGCTAAACTGAAAATCACAGTCAGAAGTGGGGGGGGCGGGGTGTTCTGTGCTCCAAGAAGCTTAAAAATGTCTGACTAGTGTATTGGCAATCCTGTTTACAGTGAAACCTGTTTCCTGTTAAATTTTGGTGATAGAAGTGACTGAGTTCTATTCTGAGTCTGTTTGAGCCCCTCAGAGTGACTATAAGGAATTAGCCTTTATTGATAAAAGGTTCCTGAACCTCAGACCTCAGACTATAGGAATAGGAGTTACAGGAAATTGAGATGAAATGAGATCTCTGAGCTCTCCACTGTTGAGAGAATGGATGCCGAGCTGGGGCTTCATAATAATAATGATTATTTTTAGGGCTTTTTTTGTTTGTTTTTTTTAAAGTCATATGACCCTTACACAAGCAGTTAAACTGCAGGGACCTCAATCTGCTCAGCATCACCACTGAAGGTGATGCGTGGTGAAACCAGAAGTGTGCTGGAATGGTGATGGGAATTGGGCAATGAACTGTAGTCACAGCTCCAGCCCCAGTGGGGAAGGTCAGTACCTGACCCTGGAATTAGCTGATTTGGTTGGAGCATGGTGCTAATAATGCCATTGTCACAGATCTGATCTCTGTACAGGCCATTCACATAAAAGTTGGACTTGATGATCCTCATAGGTCCCTTCCAACTCAGAATATTTTGTGATTCTGCTCAGGGAGGCAGTGCTGGATAACTTGAGAAATGCTTCTGTTGGTTGAAGGCTGCCTATTTGACCAAATAGAATTAGAGTGGGGGCATGAAAACCATAGAAATTCAACAGTAGTCAACAGGAGGGAATATAGTTAATGGAAATGGACATGCCATGTAGGACAGGTGCATCACTGTCTTGAGGTTTGGGGTTTTTTGCCTTGCCAGGTGTTTTATAATCTGGAGCTCAGCTGAGAAACTGTCCCTGTTAGCCTTTGTCCTGTTTATTGACAAATGTGTGCTATTGGCTACTGCTGAGGACACCAAGTCCACTTCCATTTGACCCAGATAAGATCCTGTGTCAAATGGACCTTTAGATGTGATCCAGCATTCTGTCCAGAAAAGTGCATACTAAACCACTCTGCACAGACATTTTATAGCTTGGGTAACCAGATGCTGAGAACACAATTCTTTGGAACAGGTCTACAAGCCTGATGCATTTAAGCCTGTAACAGGTGTGTAATTTTACAGAGTGAAGTACGGAAAAGTTAAACTTTTGAAAATATGACTTCAAAGTTATATTCTTGAGTTATAACTTATGGGAGGGGCACTCATGAGATGGACTTGCCTTTGGCTGAAGTGCTGACCAGGCAGGGTGCCTTGTGCCCTGTACCTCCTCACTGACCTCAGGGAGCCACAGAGCCACACCTCTGTAATGGCCAAGCGACTTCTTCATCACCCTGGCCCTTCACTGGTTTGCCCTGGCAGCACAAGGAAAGGTTCACCTGGGCATGGCTGGCCGAGGGCTGCCTGCCCATCCTGCTGCCTGTGCACGGGCTTGCCTCGTGTAGTGATGTGCAGAGGAACACAGCCAGGGCTGCCTGGGGCTGGACAGATTTTATTTCCAGGCAGGAAATGCTGTCAGGCCAAATTATGAGGAAATCTTCCAGCAGACTCATTTAAGTCTTAAATCTTGGCTAGGTTTATCTCTTCAGGTGGCAGTAGAAGAGCACGTGTGGCAGGGCAGTGTGGCTCACAGGTCTTGGAGTTCAGTGGTGCAGCTCACACGGGCACAGCAGCTCTGGTGCCAGGTCTGGGCTCTGGGTGGGTACCAAGGAGCAGTGTCTGGCTGATTGATACCTGGCAGCCTGTGCACAATGAGTTTCTTCCTCTGTGGTACTTCTGTTGAAGATCTGACCATGGTTAAAAGGAGAGATTAGTGGGCAGGAAGTGCCTGACAAGAGAGAGATTAAAGCTATTGTTGTAATTTCGGTTTGGGAACACACAAGAAATATTCTAGCTGATAACCACCAGCACTGCATATGAGGTAGCTGTTTTCTGTCAGGCGTGTCTACTCTCAGCACCAACATGGGCTTTCATCTGTTTTTAAATTAATGTTAATTACAAGTTATTAATACTTTTTAAAACAGCAAAATGCAGCTGAAAGCAATTACCCCTAATTGCTAATTTGTGTATGTACACCCAAAATGGTAATCTCTTCATCTGAACACCCAGTTCTCACTGGAGTCAGTCATTGTGTTTTTGCTTCCATTTTTTATTTCAGTTTTGGATTGTATTATAGTATTTCTTTTTAATGGCTTTGCTGAAAGCTACAAGATCTCCTCTCACAAGTTCCGTGATCTTCTGGAAAGCATGATCTTGTTAACTGTTAAGGAGGCCTCACTAAAGAGATGTTCTTTAGTTTTGGAAGAATGTTTAAATCACAGTCACCGACATTGGGAATTAATCAGTTCTTGTAAGTTGTGCATAATATGCACTTGAATTCGTGCTGGATCTCAATTTCATCTGTGAACATCATCATCCTTTTTCAGAAGCTAAAGGCCACAAAGGCAGCTTGTGCTGATAAATTTGTGGTACAGTTCAATGCTGACCTTTGCAATCCCAGGTCTCAGATGGTTTCAGACTTTAAAAATTTAATTCAGAGATACCATGGCTTCTCTTTCCATCTGCATATTTTCATCCTTGCCAATATAGGAAAGATTCAAAGCTGCCAAACTCTGCCAGTGGGAAATGGCCTTTCTGGTACTGCAGTCACAATCTGGTGGAACAGATTGTTAGATGGGTTGAAATCTGCTGGGACCACCTTGGGCTGGACTCCAGGAGATCAAAGGGCTGGCATCCAGCTGGCACCAAGCAGTGAGCAGTGTAGTCTGCTGGAGTCCATGACATTTTCATCAGCACAGAGTGTGCCTTCCTCAAATGTGTGAACAACACTAAATTGGGGGTAGCAACAGTAAATGAGAGAGCCTAAATCCACAGGGATAAACTTGGTGACTAGGCCAACGTGAAGCTTGTGGAATTTGGAAATCAAAACGGTCTGCACCTTGGTGGGACCAACCCCCTGCTGTGGGAGAGGCTGGGAAGCAACTGTGTGACTTGTGGTCCAGCTGATATGGCCAAGGGTATTACTGTGAATGCCAAAAGATGCCAGTAGATCTGAAAGTTGAAAACAACCCAGCAATGCACCTTGACTGTGAATAAGTGAAGCCATCTTCTACATTACATTGGGAAGGTCATTGCCTTCTGTGTTTCAGTGTTAGTCACAGCAAATCTTCTCCAAGGAGCTATCATATATTGGTATTTTGACATTTACTGGCTGTGAAAGGGCACTTACCTGAGAGATGGTGCATTCCTGAGTTCTTGCATTTGTCTGAGCACTTCCATTTGTCTGTTTTTATCCTAAAGTTTTACTTGATATGTACCTCTTGTACTTCCATAGGAGACGTGAAAAAAGATGAATATGCTAAGGCAGGAGAAGTGTTATTGGGTATTGACCAACCATTAGAACAATGGCTTTTCTTTGTCTAAAATAGCTCAGCTTTTAAAAAGAACTGAAGGAGGAAATAGAAGTGATTTTATGCCACCTATTCTTAGTGTTACAGAACTGTCTGCCCTTTTTGTAAGATACGCAGTACTGCAAGTGCTCAGGAGTTTCTTTCCAGAAGCCAGGACCTGCAGCTGAGCCCTGTGCCCACTGTCCTTTGGGCTGCCCTTCCACAGCTAGCAAATGCCAACTGCAATGTGGTCACTCCTTGGAGAAAATTGGTTGTGACTGATGCTGAAACACCTCATCCTAGAGTAGTGAGGACTCCCAAGTGGAGGCAGGCAGGACTCTGCCATGATCAGCCTTCAGGTATTTTAGTTCTGTTTAGCAAGCTGAGTATTCAAAAAGGGACTTTTGAGTCATCAGAAGTCGTTCTCTTATTTTTCTTGTTTTTACATCCTTACCTCAAATGGTAGATCTGCCTCTCAGCCTGAGGCACATCCATAGTACTCTTCCTGCACTAATAAGGGTAAGAGGACTTCTGACTGCCACTGGCACTTCAGAGCTGTCAGGCCTTTAAGGAGGAAAGTGCAGCTGACAGCTCGACTATAGACCTCACACGTGTCTGTGGGCAGCAGAGCCAGCCTCCATCACGGAGCTGTAACACAGAGATCTGCATTTGGTGCACCTCCCATCTTACCTGGGTAGGATCAGCCAGGTGTGCCCAGTCCATCCCACTGTGCCCCAGCATAGCTGGCAGCACCAAGCCCCCTTGGAGAACTGGCCAGGGAGGTCAGCTAGCAGCAAGCTTTGCAGCTTTGCTGAGAGCAGGGATTTTAGTAGGCTTCACCTATGGAAAATTATTTTTCAGCTATAGTCTATATTTAACTAGCTCCTGTTTGTGCAGCATTAAGTCCCTGGAACAAGATGAATTTGTTTCATTTCCACAGATATGGCATCTTCAAGCTAATCAAATCCAGTCAAATCCCACACCCTGAGCCCAGCTCTTGTTTAACTAGGTGGTACATTTCATCCTGAAGCAGCTTGTAAAATTAAACTGAAAAAGAGAGAATCTTAATCTTAATCTTCCTGCTGGTAATGTGCCACCAGCATGGTGAAAACTGGACAGCTGTGTGAGTCCTGCAGAAGGCAGGGATGCTGTGTGGCAAACACATTCCCCAGCTGAGAGCCAGAGTGTCTCAGGATGAGGTGAGCTCTACATGTCAGACCTCTGCTGCCAGCCTGCTCTGCATATGTCCAAGGCACCTTTGACTCATCTAAA